GGGGGGGGGGGGGGCGTACTGCAATGTTTTGCATGCCATAGCGGTTGCAGACCATTGGCCACGGTCGTCCTCGAGAGGAAGAAGCATTGTTCCCACAGGAACGGTCGCCGATGGCTAACCGTTCATTCCTACTTTGCCAAAGGATATGGACTGTTAGCGCTCTTTCTCGGGGGCCTTATTGTGCTTGGCGCTCTCACGCACGTACTCTGTTCTGGCGGAGACAAGCGGAAACACACCTCGACAAGTCCCCTTTCCCATCCCCAACATATGTTACACGCTGCTCGAAACACCCTCATTGACAAGAGAAGCAGCTGTCGGTCGACCCAATGTCTTCGCTATCCCACGCCTCCTCCTTCGTACCGCACCGATAGGAGAGATTCGAACTCCCGTGCCCGGTCTACGGGCGAAATATGGTAATTCACTAGATGGTGTGTACAAAGGTAATCTTGTACCGGCGACGAAAATGGTTGCAACAGATAGGGCTGGTCCACAGGCTGACGAATAAAGAGAATTGAAAAAAATATGGCTGCTTGATGATGTGCAGCAGCAACATACCACGAGACTGGCGTGCGGATAAGGGTTTCAAGAGGTTGCTGGTGTTCAGACAAGTTTTTTTTTTTACGAGAGGCGTCGGGGCTGATGATGACGCACGGACCAATCACGCCGCAGCAGCGTTGTTCCTTCCCTCACCGAGGTACAGGGTGCAGTTGACCGTGAAGTTCTTGTCCATGATGTCGGTGTCGAGCCCTTCGATCAGCAGGGTGTCGTACATCTCGTCCAGTGAAGCGGTCTCGGCGGGAGATAGGTCCGCGGTGTAGCCGGCCACCGGATAATCTCCGCAGGCGCCGACCTTCTCGCTGCACCTGTTGTGATTGTAGCGGTCGCCGGGGGATCGATATATCGATGGCGTGGGGGGCGGGGGGAGTTATTGGCGGCAGCGGGGGTCACCGAACATGTTGGTTGCTCCTCGTGAGTTCTTCGTTTTGTTTCTTGGGTGACGTCACCGTTGTTGACAAACTACTTTGTCCTTGCTTTCGGCGTCTTTTATTCTGTTAACTGTCGCTAGTTTAAATTTTCTCTTTCAACCCACGGCCTTAAAAGGGCAAGTGATCGTGCTTGTGATATCGTATGGGGTGCTCTAGGATGGTTAGGAGCGTTGCTACGGTGCTACGTATTATTTTTCGGCCTTCCCGAGCCTGGGTACGAAAATTGTGCACGCGGAAAGGCCGAGGGAGGGGAAGGGGGGGCGCACGCGCAGGTGTTGCAAGCTGGGGCGTGAAAACCGGCGTTGACTCTTCTCGTGCCTGCCCCATCACCCTACAATATTCCTCGCCATACCTACCTCCATCCTGCCACCTGGACGCCGCGTTGCAACAAAGGCTATGTTCATGCGCTGCAACACCACCGGCCATGTTTACGATTCGTTTTGATGAAACTAAACGCGCATACAAGGAAAGCTGGGAGACTCAGCGGGGAAGACAACTTCCCCGCGTGGTTCACCATGTTGCCTAACCGAGAGTGGCTCAAGGTACGGATGGCGTGTAGCATGCTCTCAAAACCAAAACACCGAATCCGACGACGACAACAATACCAGTAGCGACGTAAGAAATGCCAGATGGGCAGCAGCCGCGGTAGCAGTTGAGGGTGACGGGAAAGAAGGACTCGTCGAACCCACATGACTGGACGGCCACGCACGTGAGGATCGATCGAAAACCGAACAAGCGGAGAAAGGGAAACCAAAAAACATCGGAACGAAAAAATAATCCACGTTATTCGGGAAGTGAGTGGCCGGTTGCTTTGCCACGAAAACGAGCACTTTGTGCCTGCGATGTACCCTGCCGGGTAAGGGCCATGAGGAGCAAGACCGAGTAGCATCGTGACAAGACGTTGAACGAAGGGCAAAACAACAGCTCAGAGAGCCACACGCAGGAGCACACTACGACTACACGATAGAAACGCAGCAGGATCACTTCAGGCTAGGCAAGACGCGCCATTCCCAACGAGTCAGCGTGGCGGGGGCTGCTCACACGCCTGTACACCCTTTGTCTAACCCCGTTTTTTCGTTGACCAAACGAAGGGGTTCCCTCGCGCACCTAAAGACCTCGGAAAACATACACCGGTGACGTATAGGATGTTAGACGAAACGATACATTTTCGGAACGATCTCGACGAGGCGGCTTCAACACACCCATATTCGGCGCTGTGACTCTTTCTGCTGTTGAGAAATCGACATTGAAAATCGGTCCAGCGGGTGTGTTATCTGGTGTCGTATACAGTATTTGTTTCCTTGGGGACGTCTTGTCGCTCGCAAATGTTTTGCGATTGCTGTGCTGTGGCGTGTTGCCCTACTCTCTGTCCCGCAACCCCTGCATCACAAGCTTTGGATTCTAGACCCCTCCAGTCTTGGCCGGCGAGAGCCCAGGAAGGAACAAACACCCGGACGCCCCCGTCACTGGGAAACCTTCGAGCTTTCCCCAAAACTATATTAATCGTTATGCCTGCAACGTGCACAACATGTACATGATCATGCCCGGCAGTTTTCGATCCATACTTGATCTATTGACATTTTTTCCTTCCGGCAAACCGTACCGTGTAGTTGCGGTACGTGTGCTCATCCGCGTCGATGAAGGCCTTGTCGACTCGTGGTTTTCGACCGTGTGGCTGGCCGTGATTTACGTATGGTAGATGCATCGTCATCACGACAGAGGGTGGTCTACTTTCGCAGTGGCGCACCCGCCCGCCTAGTATACCAGCGTCTTGTTTTCGGCGGGCCTCTCTTCTGTGACCGTCAAATGACAAAACAGTTGCGCCAAGTAGAAACCGAGTGCCGTACAGCCGAAGCAGACCAGTCGGGGAACGACACGCGAGAGGCCCCATGCATTCCAAGGCAACTACCCAAGGGAAACGGTAAGGTGTTCGTGTGGTTGTTCCTCACGCGGACGCCACGTACAATTACGTTGGTTCTAGACAGCATGTCGTACACGTTCATGATCGCCGCCATCTTCGGCGTCGCGGCGAGATACGCTGCACGACAGGAAAAGGTGAAAAACACGCAGATTCGCTGAGAGCAATGTAGAGGAGACCGGCTTCTGAAAGACAAAAATCGAAGCAGGCGAACATACCGGCAGCACCCGACACCACAGCAACAACGCCCACGACCTACCTTCATCTCTATTCCGTCGGGGCCCAACTGCCCGTAGATCGGAAACTTGTCCCGGAATGGCCTTAAGCAGGAAGGAACCGGGGGGGGGATTGGGACGTGGAGAACGGAGAGGCCGTGTGGAATCGGCCCAAGAGCCGACGTTCCCGCGCCAGCCCGTCGACGGATGCAAAACTCGCTGAAGGCAGGCGAAGGAGCATCTCGATGAGGGTTGCCGCATGCGACAGTCACCGTCACGGTGGGAGGTTATTTCGCAAGATAGTATTCGGGGAGAACGGCACAACACGGACAAACTCTCTGCCGGGTGCTCATACAATGTTCTTTGCTGCTCCTTCCGGGTTCGCGTCTGTCTCCGATGTCCAACACAAAGTTAGGGAGAACATTTGTCACAAGATACCAGTAACTCTCGCAGGGATTATCTACTAGTCGAAGTGAACATATGGGATGAAAAATGCGATCGGGGGTGTTGGGTTAGAGTTAGGTACAGGGTCTGCGTTCCCCCTCCCTGTTCAATGTCCTCATCGACTTCATTGATCGCGAGGGCACTCGCAGTCAACAAGCTGGGGAGAACGGTACAAGACTGGCAATTGATATGTATGTTGGGCGCGATGGAACCTTACTTTCCCTCGTTTCGAGTTCGCTTCTCCGATGCCAACCAATAGCTTGTGATAAGCCAGCCGGGGGTTGACAAGTAAGTGCACTGTGGCTTGGGTGCTCTTTTATATAACAACAACGCGCCGGCCGCGATTCTCGTGCAAGGGCCTTGGTAACACGAACTTACGAAGCGACAGGTGGAGAAGTAAGCTTGTTGGGGTTTGCAGCAAAGAGCTGCAAGAAGACACGCACGCTACGGTGCGCGCCAAACACGATGCAGGGTTCAACCCGCGAGCTGCAAGAAGAAATACACGGTACGGTGCACGCCAAACCCGATGCAGGTTCCAGCCGGCGTGCGGATGGTCCTCAACTTCACAAATCTGCTCGTCAGCTTTGACGCATGAAAGGCCTTCTTGCTGCAGCGTACAATCCCTCTTCCGACCCTGCGCTCCACAGATACGGTAACATCCAGCCCTCTGGGGCCTTCAACTAAAAATAGTCTCGTCGTGGGCTGACTCCGATCAGCTTTCAGCCCTCACAGAGGCAAGCAACGCTTTGACCCACTGCTCCATAGCACATACGCACGATCACCATCCGCAACCCCCACCGATGTGGTCGGGTGACGCGGCCACCAAACATTTCCACTCGCTGCCATCTGCCGTTTCGTTCGATTCGAAAAAAAAGCAGCAAACGAAACTCACGTATGATCAGCCCAGCAGCGGCGAATGCTCGCCCTTGACCGCCCCCGCCTGTTCCTGAAGGCAACCCGCCGTGCCGTGGTAGTGGTACAACCCGTTGGGCGTCGCGTGCCGCCCGCAAGGGTCGGAGCTGTCCGCTTCCAGGTAGAACGCCGTGTAAAAGAAGTCCTCTCCGGGGTCAACCGCCCACGAGCTTCACACGTTTCATCATCGTTATGTGTACATGTAGAAAAAATGAATGAAAAAAGGAAAAGGAAAAAACGAACGAAGAACGACCAGTGATTTTGGTGTCCATCCGTCATCACCATCGTTACTTGAAAAAAAGGACGAAGCATGAAAAGGAGAAAA